GGGGGGGGGGGGGGGGCAATGAGCCACCTGCACTGAGCAGGGGTATCAGAGTTCTCACTGGTGACCGAAGACCATCCGTGCAGGCTGCCTGCAGACAGTGCCTGGCACTGCCCGGTCAGGCTGGTCCACCTGCTCATGCAGAGGCTCTGCTGGGGCCTGGAGAGCTGGTTCAATGCTCCACAGACTCACACAGCAGAGAGGAGCTGGACAGAGGCGATCTTCCCAGCCCAACAGACCTGTCGTTTTAACATCTCTGGCCTACCAAGTCCCACTTAAGAAGTAACTGCTATGGCTTTCCCATTTTCATTCATCTAAACTATACACAGCTGCCCAGCTGAGCTTCTCATAAGCTGAAATAACTAGTGTGACCATGATGGGTTCGTGGGATTTCAGCCAGAGACTCAGAAAGCTTCAAAATAGCTCTGACTGCGTCCTCCCCACACTAGCTCTGAGGAGCCCAGGGAGCCAGAACTAAAGATCCTCGTGGACACACAAAAGTCTGGGACAAACGCTTACCAACCAGCCAGACACGGCACTGCCTGAGCCCATCCCTGGGGTGGTGGGCAGAGGTCTGAGACAGGATGTCCACCTTCAAGCTCTGCTCTGGACGATGCCATCTGGGAGATGCTGGGGCTGCCTGGGAGCCAGCATGGGCTCACAGCCTGCTATGCAGGGTAACCTTCTAATCACCTGGGGAGCTTTAAAAACATGCCACTGTCGGAGCCCCACCTCTGGGGATGCCCAACTGAACTGGTCAGGGCAGGACGCAGACAACGGTCCTCGTTAAACAACTCCCAGTGGGGAGGACAGAGAGAAGGACAGGATGCAGACACACTGCCGCTGCGGGGACGGCGTGCAGGAAGGGTCCTGCCCAGGGCACCGCACCCAGGACACAAGCTGGAGGGAGGGAGGGAGGGAAAGCCTGACTGAAGGGGGTGCACTGCCATGTCGGGAACCAGACAGGGATGCACCTCCCCTGCAGGTGGGGCAGGGGTCACTGTGGGTCTCCATCCTCAATCGCCAGCCGACAAAGCACGTTCATGCGTGGTCCCACTCTGAACAGGAGCCTCGCACCAGCCCTTAGGGGAATGTGGCCAGTCCCAATATGCCCACCTCACAGAAGGGGTCACCAAGGTGAGGGCGGGGCCAGAACTGGAACTTGAACCCAGACCTTCTGACCGAATCACCTTCTATCCCCTTGCACTGGAGGGCAGAGGGGAGGCTGCAAAGCGCCGACCAGAGACGGGCCCCGATGATGTCCAAGGCACGCTGTGGTTGGGGCCCTAGGTCTGGTAGAGGGTTACCCCCGGGGGGGCAGTGAGCCTTTGCCCGGGCTGAGCCAGAGCCAGAGCCAGGCTGCCCCATCCGCCGGCCTCCAGGACCACGCCTCCACCTCCTGGAAGAGCTGCCGGCCAGAACCGCCCTCAGCTAACCCATGTCAAGGGCTGAGAGAGCACAAGGGGGCCTCACCCCCACACCCAGGATGAGTCCTCCAGACCCTCCCTCTGCTCTGTCACCTGAGCTGGCCGTCCCCACCAGTGCCCGAGGTGGGCTGCTGACGCGTCTACTTTGGATCCATTTTCCTTCAGTTGATTGGACCGCGAACACGGTTACTTCTTCTAAAAGTGCCTGATGTTAGAGCTCATCTGACATTTTCATGGGTTTAACTCCACTTTCTCCCTCTGACGTTTATTCTTCTTCTGGATTCTGGAAAAAGCGAATAGAGGGCAAAACTAAACCCCATTGGGTCACAGGTGAGCACGAGACAACAGAGAGCCGGCTGTGCCCTGGCGCCCCGGCCCTTGGCCTCCCTCCCCACCCCACCCAGTCCCCCTGCTGGGCCAGGGCTGCAGACGGGGGGCCGGACCCTGCCACCAGGGCAGGCGGGCATTTCCAGGAGGCACTGGTCTGGGGAGGCGGGCAGGCCTCACAGATGAGCGGGGGTCCAGGCTCCAGCTGGCAGAGGCGCGAACCGTGGCGCCAGCCCCTCCTCTAGAGCTTGTCCCCCGCATGGACCTTCTGGTGGCGGATGAGGTGCGAGCTGCCCCGGAAGGCCTTGCCGCAGCGGTTGCACTCGTAGGGCCTCTCCCGCGTGTGGGTCTTGTAGTGCTCGATGAGGGCCGAGCGGTGCCGGAAGGCCTTGCCGCACTCATTACACACGTAAGGCTTCCGGCCCGTGTGGATGCGCTGGTGCTGGATGAGGGCCGAGCTGTGGCAGAAGGCCTTGCCGCACTGGCCACACTCGTAGGGCTTCTCGCCGGTGTGGATGCGCTGGTGCTCGATGAGCGAGGAGCTCTGGCTGAAGGCCTTGCCGCACTTGTGGCACTTGTAAGGCTTCTCGCCCGTGTGTGTCTTGCGGTGCTCGATGAGGTTGGAGCTCTGGCTGAAGGCCTTCCCGCACTCCTCGCATGCATACGGCTTCTTGCCTGTGTGGATCCTCTGGTGCCGGATGAGGTGGGACCGGTGGCAGAAGGCCTTCCCACAGAGCTCGCACTCATGCGGTTTCTTCAGCGTGTGGATCTTCCGGTGCTGGCTCAGGCCCGAACTCTGGTTGAAGGATTTCCCGCACTCCTTACATTGATAGGGCTTCTCCCCGGTGTGGATGCGCTCGTGCTTCCGGAGGCTCGAACTCCGACTGAAGTCCTTCCCGCACTCCCTGCACGCGTACGGCCTCTTCCCGGTGTGGGTCTTCTGGTGTTGCGCGAGTGCAGAGCTCTGGCGGAAGGCCTTGCCGCACTCCCTGCACTCGTAGGGCTTCTCCCCTGTGTGGATGGCCTGGTGCCGCAGCAGGTGCGAGCTCTGGCTGAAGGCCTTGCCGCACTCACAGCACTCGTAGGGCTTCTCCCCCGTGTGGATCACCAGGTGCCTGAGCAGGTGTGAGCTCTGGCTGAAGGCCTTGCCGCACTCGCGACACGCGTAGGGCTTGGCTGGCTGTGCAGTCCTGTGAGGCCCCTTGGGTCCCGAGTCCCCCCTGCCCGCTGTCTCCCCATCGGGCTTACCAGACGCTTCTTCGCTGTGAATTATCTGGCACATAGTCAGGTCTGATTTCTGGAGGAAGGTTGGGCTGGACGGCTCATCGTCCTGGGGTCTGTCTCCTGGGGGGATGCTCTGATGCTGGACGGGGCTTGAGCACAGACTGATATTCCCCTCATAATCGTCCTGCTCCCCCAGAGGGACCTCTTTGTAGATGACAGCCATCTGCGCTAAACCCCTTTCCTGAAGAAAAGGGTTCCCCGGGTCCTCCTCCGGGAAAAGGTTTGTCTGCATCTCCAACCCGTCCTCAAACACGAAGGCCTCACCCAGCTTGGCTGCCAGGGGAATCTCCATTGTGGGTCCGGGCTCACCCCTAGTGACTGTTTCTCTTTGGGACACACTTACTGCTCTCAGATTCTGAAAAGAAAACAAGAGACACTGTCAAGTCAGCAAGTCAAGTACCTAGTAGGTGCCAGAGTCTAAGGTAGATATAACCAAAGACACAATCTTGCCCTTGAGATGGTCCTTACTGAGTTAGAGACAAGTCTGACTTACCAGAAACAACTGCAAGGAAGACAGACAGACAGGCAATGACACACTGTGGTGTCCAGACTCTAAAGGCTCAGGGTGTCCAGAAAGGTGGGCAAGGACAGGAAGTGGAGCCATTCTGAAAAAGGGGTAAGACTCCAGCTACCGGAGGAGGTTGGGGCTGGGGTCTTGTTGGGAAAGAGAGAGCACACACCCCCCTCCTACGATCGGTCATGTAGTGGAATAACTGAGGACGTGGAAAGGAGACGTGACCCATGAGCCCCCCCCCCCCAGCAAACTGGGGGCTGGCGAATAAGCCAGAACTGCAAGCAGTCCTGATTGCTTTGAGCCCCCCCGCCCCCAGCAAACCGGGGGCATGCAAATAAGCCAGAACTGTGAACAGTCCTGATTGCTTTGAGCCGCCCCCCCGCCCCGGCAAACCGGGGGCCTGCGAAGAAGCATTGAGTGTGCTTTGGGCGCTGATCCATGAGAATGTCCTCAGTGTAATCAGTATGGTGGGAACGCAAGGCAACGTCCTTGTGCTGCTTCAGTATAATCAGAATAATGGTGGGAACTTTGTGCTGCTTTTGCGCTCGAGGACGAAGCACGGCATGTTTTCAAGAAAGTACATTATTGCTTGTATAATTAATAAAAACATAGGTTGCTACTTTGGCATTTCTAAAATGTTAAGAAAACAAGTCTTAAAATGTTAACATAGATAATGCTTTAATAAAAGCTACCACAACAGGACAGACGGCGCTGTTTTGCCTGAGCGAGCGGCAGCCCTCTACTGCTGTGCTTCTGCACAATTCATCTCATGTGACGAGCTTACTTTCGGCCCTGTCATAAGATAAACTACAACAGGTAGGCTGCAGGCCTCCAGCCCAGAGCCCCAGCCAGAGCCCTGGGAGTCAGCCCTTCTCATTCCCGCCGGCACACCCCATCCTGTCGACTTCCCGTCTTTACTGAAGGGGTCTCTACCTCTCTCCTCGCTGCCACTGGGCAGCTCAGGCCTCCGTGTGACTCGCCTCCCCGCTGGCTGCCTACCTCCAGCTTCCCCCCTCCCCCCAGCCCATTCTCTACGTGGATGCCAAGGTCAAACGCCCAAAACACAGTCCTGATCGTGGCATTCCCCTTCTCAGGAGCTTGGAGCAGCCCAAGTCCTCCACACCCGGCCATGCGGCCCTGTCCCCTGCTTCTCCTTCCACATACCCCCAAACTTCCAGCTCCACCACTCACACATGCTGCTGTTTCCTCCTCCTGACTGGTCCCCACTCTTCTCACATGGCCACCTGCTCATCCTTCCAGACTCAGTTCAAATGTCCCCTCTTCCCTGCACCCTCAGACTCTGACAATCTTGGGCACGTGGCCTTGGTGACCGTGGAGCATGGGGCATATGTCCATCACAGCACTCACCACCTGGAGGGCAAATGTCATGGCAGGACTTTCCCCACCACCGCCTGCGAGCTCCGCAAGGGCAAATCCAGGGCTCCTCCATATTGGAATCCCCAGCTCCCAGCACAGCCACTCAATCATTACACACACATTTACTGAATAAATAAATGATTGAATGGAGGAAAAGTTATTTGTGTTTGTGTTAGAACTGCTTACCACACTTTTATTTTATTTTGCCAAAGTACTCTTTATTCAAATAAGTCAATTATCTGGGAGATATGAATAAATGAAACATACAAAAGCAGAGCTGCTCCGGTCGAAGGGGGTGTTTTTGGAGGGACAAGGAAGGAGGCTAGAACACCGCACTCAGCCCCCCATCCCACTGTGGGGGCCCAGAGGGAGCCCCGCAGGACCCCATCCACAAACTGGTATGCAACCTCCAGGGAAACTCTTCAGGTACCATAATGATGACAACTCGAGTTTATTGAGCAACTACTGTGTGCAAGGCACGGCTACACCTTTTACAAGCATATCTCATGTACTCCTCAGGACTCCATACAAAGGTACTATCGTCCTTACACTGAAGTCAGAGAGGAACTGCCTGAAAAAGACATACTAAATTAATCAGAATAGTCATGATGGAACTCATTCCTATTTGGAATTTTGTTTTAGTGAATTTTCAGCCAGTAGAAAGGCCAGGTGTGAAAAAAAGCACAGAACTGCAATATCCTCAAGAAGCCTGTGTCAGACTGCCCTGGTGGTGCAGTGGTTGAGAATCCACCTGCCAATGCAGGGGATGTAGGTTCAAGCCCTGGTCCGGGAAGATCCCACATGCCGCGGAGCAACTAAGCCCGTGTGCCACAACTACTGAAGCCCCCACGCCACAACTACTGAAGCGCGTGTGCCTAGAGCCCGTGCTCTGCAACAAGAGAAGCCACCACAATGAGAGGCCAGTGCACCTCAACGAAGAGTAGCCCCCACTCGTGGCAACTAGAGAAAGCCCGTGCACAGCAACAAAGACCCAATGCAGCCAAAAATAAATAAATAAATAAATTTATTATTTTTTTTAAAAAGCCTGTGATCACTCCCACTCCTCTTCACAACCACGGTCTCCACTCCCCCCGCCTCACCCGACCTCATCAAACCTCACGTCCCATTTTCACCCTGGTCCACCCCTTCCCCATCTAGTTTAGACTACAGTGGGTCTAACTATGGGCGTCACTTCAACCAGCTCGCTGACCAGCATCACATTCCTCACCTCCCTGCCCTGCCACTAACTACCCACCTCCTCTGCCAGCTCCTCCTAAGATGCTGAATGTTGCCAAGGAAAATCATACGACTGTGTCTGGCACGGAGACAAACTTCAAGTTTCCAATTTCACCTGGGACTTCAGCTCCAGCATCTAATGACCTCCTTACGGCCAAGCCCTCTCTTCTGGGTCCTCACTTCCTCCCCTCTCTGGAAGGCCTCCCCAAGACATTCCTCTCAAAACCCTTCATTTCAGAGACTGCAAATTGGCACTCTGGGGATCCTGCCACAGACACGTTGTGTTTGACTCTCAAAGAGTCAGGCTTTTCCTTTTTGTTTGACTTAGCTGCCAATATTTAAAACTCAGTAGGTTTTCTCATGAAAAACCGGATGATGTGACAATACGAGCCCACCCTTCACTAACCCACCTTGCTGGCCAACCTACCCCCACTCCCACGCCCCACTTCATTCCCTTGGTTTCTTTCCCCCCCCTTAATTTTCATGCCCTCTGACCCCTCTTTCTCGGTATCTGGGGATTGTGCCTCCACCCACCTGCTAAATCCTGGTGTTTCCGAGGTTCCCTCCTCGGGGGTTTTCCATTCCCACTATGTACCAGCTACACGCTGAAGTCTCCACTGTGTTGAAAAAGTTGGCGATACTTTATCTGTGATCAACGATGTTTTAAATATTTGGGGACCGAAAATCCACAGGTCTGGAACCTCACGCTTCCCACCTCTCTCTGGCCTTCCCCGGCTCCTCCTGCCTCCGTCACTCCATCCTCCTGGGACCCCCAGGGCCCGGGCACCCGGCCGACCCTCGGGCCAGTCAGGGCCTCCTGGCTGGAGGCCAGCGAGCGGCCGCGGACCCGCACCTGCTTCCACGGACGGGGGCCGCCCACACCTGCGCCACCGGAGGGAGAGGTGGCCACACTGGCTGCCGCGGAGCCACTCACCTAGGCCGGGGCGGGGCCGCTCACCTGAGCGGGGGCGGGGCCGCGGGCGAGCAGGGCGGGGCCGCACCTGAGCTGCTCCTGCCCGCGGCCTTGGCCTCGCTCGGCTGGGGCTGCTGACGCGGAGCCCGCGGCTGCCCGAGCCCGAGCCCCGCCCCCTCCCGCGGCACTTCCGGGACCGCTCTAGCCTGCGCGGAGGCCAGTGTCTCTCTGGTCCCGCCGCGCAGTACGCGTCTTCTCCTGGACGCCGGGATCCGCGTCGTAGGACTGGGGTCGGGAGGGGCCGTCCAGTCGACTCAGGGCTCCGGGCCGTCCCCGAGCGCGTCCCGGCTGGGCGGGCGTTGGCGGGAGCGCAGAGGAGGAAACTGAGGCCGGGAGGGGCGGCCGGCTCCTGGGCACCTGTCCTGGGGGTGGGGCCGGCCAGAGGCCTTGCGGCGGCTGTGTCCCCGGGAGAAGGGCAGGTGCGCTCAGGGCTGCGGAGCCTGTTACCCCGCTCAGGCCCGGGGTCCTGCTGCGATTCCCCCTCCCTTACTGGGGAGCTCTGGTCCTGCTTGCTCACCTCGTCCCCGCAGAGACAAATGAGGAGAGTCCGGAGAGGGCCCAGGAGATGGCTGGGAGCCTAGGCAGGACCCTCTGTGGACCCCACCTCTGCATCTGAGGGATGGCCTCCGTTCAGGTGGCGCCTCTTAGGGGAACCGGGAGGGAAGCGGGGTGTGTTCTTCATCCCCCGACCCCCCTCCCAGAGCTCACTTCTACTTCTGGTGGCAAGACTTGCCCCTCTACCCAAGGATGGCTGCTGCCCATTCTGCCCCTGCCATCTGCCCACCTGTCTTCAGCACCTTCCGTCCTGGCCCTCAGGTGCCTCCTAGCCCCATCCAGGAGTAGGCAGGGGCTCCTAGGGACCCAGTCCACTGACCCTGTGTGTTGGACCACAACCAGCCATGCAGAGCCAGGACCAGCAAGGGCTGGCTATTTTTTCTCTCACTCCTGCTCCTCCAGTCACAGGAAGGCAAGAGCCACATTCTGAGCCCCTGGGGGCTGGTAGGGAGGTGGGGCCCCACCCAAGGGTCTCAGGTGCTTCCCCTTCCGCAAAAATCCCCAGAATCCCTACCCCCACACTCCCAGACCAACCACAGTCACTTTTTCAGCCAGGATCCCACGGCCCTCAGAATAGTTATTGTTGACATGTTGATTATTAACCCATTTTACAAAGGAGGAAAATCCAAGGCTCAGAGAA